GTGAGTAGCGGTGGGGGCTGGCTCCCCCACACCTTATACTACATTCCCAAGAGGCTTTTCGCCATGGGGGCTCTGCTGTCACTCATGAAAACAGCCTTGGTGTGTATGGTGATGGTGTCAGATCGTTTTGCATGTCTGAAGCAAATGCAGAGATTTGGAATGTTCTAGAAGTACGTGAAACTCAGTGAAAATAACTAATGTTCGTAAAGGACACAGAGAACTCACTGTTTTCACAGCTGCCTCAGGAGCCTGCGGTCCAGTGTGTCACAGAGGCTCAGTGGACGCACGGTTCGTTTCCGATAAAGTAGCTCTCCCTCAGAGAGCTCCCAAGCGTACTCTATCATGCCAGCATCTTTTTCTACCATTTGATGAAGAGGTTCTGTTAAATATTCGTTGAACATCTACTTTGAGACAGGCTCTGTTGTAGGTCTGTAAAATATATCCTCTTGGCAACAAAGTAGGTATCACATCTTTATCTTCATTTTATAGAAACATAAGGACATGCTCAAGATAGACCAGCAGAACCCTTTGGGCCTCATAAGGCTCTTTCTCTTTCTTAGAGGCCACTCTCACCACCTTTAAGGGCTCCACGTGCCTGGCCTGACAGACTGACCCGAGGCACCAACCACAGATTTCCAGTGGACACCTGGGATTTTCCAAGCACCGAAGCTCAGGGTCCTTCAAAAGTCACTCCGTAAATCTTCCTTTTGTTAATGTTTATTTACACATCAAATATAGGTTGTTTTGCTTTTCCACTTAATCATATGTATCATGTCTCCCGATGTGAATACAAATAAACTGTTTATCTTTATTAAGATTGCACTGCTACCTTATAACCCTTCTCTTACGAATAGACATTTCAGCCCTTCCCATCTAGTACTACCTAAGAATTAGAAAAAATGGGACACAACGTCCGGGAAACGAGTGGGAGATTAGAATCATTTATTAAGGAGGCATAGGTTTGACCTTGATCTTTCTGTGTCCTCTTCAAGTCAAAACTCTCTACAACACCGGGCAGCCTGCCCGACCTCAGGGCTGTAATTTGTAGGTGAACTGGAAGGCCCAGGCATGCCCGGCAGCCTCCACTCCCGCTCCCACACAGGGACACAGAGTCCGCAGCTGTTCTGACCGAAAGTGAAGCAAATGTCGGCACTAAAACACATCTAGTGTTGCGGTGAGTTGAAAACTGGCGGCTGGTGTGGGCTTTTCTGTCCATTTTAATTAAAGTGTTTCCCCTTCCCAGGCAACGAGAAAATGCTCTCCGGGTGCTGACTGGAAGACCCAAATCAGAGCAAGAGTTGTTTGAGAATGCAGAGGCTTAAGTAAAGCTGCTTTACAGGCTGCTGTGTGTATTAAACAACGTGGACATTTCCTAACAGGATTTTCTGCTTAGAGAGCCAGCAAATCTCTCCCCCAGCCACTTTGGTCAAAATCAAAGTCAAGTGCTGCAAAGGTTATCCAAGTAGTCAGAAAAGCAAAATAAGGGGGACATATTAATTTAGTTAAAAGGATATTAATTTAATTAAAAGCATAAAGACTTAACTTTATATATAATATAGTACAGTGTATTAAAACATACCATATGTAATATATAAATTATATAGAATGCCTTTCTCTTATAACAATCTTAGTAATTATGTTTGCTGAAGTTTAGAGTGTGATGATATTCAATAATGTGAATTATAAAGCAGCCTATGCACAGTTTTTAAAAAGCACTAGCAAGACAGGTGACAGGGGTCAGGCTTCTTGTCATAAGAGGCACTAACGTGGCCACGGTCATCTGACGGGCTTTCTCTCTTGCTGTGTCCTCCTCCCTAGCCCTTTCCCCGAGGGAATGGACGAGAATGGGAAAAGGTGGAGGGTACAGTGAGGCCGGCGTGGGCTGCTGACTGCAAGGTCAATAGTTTGACCCCGGGTGCTCTGCAGGGCAGAGATGAAGCTTTATGCTGCCATCAAGATGTAAGGACTTGGAAGCCCACAGAGGCAGCTCTACTCTGTCCTACGGGCTTGCTATGAATCAGAACCAACTCCTCGAGGGCAGTGCGTTTCGCTTTTTAGATAGATGGTCTAGGTTAGGCAACCTGCAAACGAGCGCCATCCTGTCTCCTGCAATGGACTCCTGAGCTCACAGGCTCCGAGCCAGATGGCGTCTAAAGGTGGAGTCAACCTCTAGCGTGTTGCTCCCTGAGCACTGGGAGGGGGCAAAGGCCTTGGTGGGCTTTCTGTGGCTTCCACGCATAGGGGAGTAGATCCTGGTTTCTTGCAATATCTACTCTTGCCGTATTCTACTCGCACATTGGCCATTTCCATTCGCACTCTTGTCCTGCTTTCCTGGTTTGTTTTTCAAACTACAGCTGCGGGACACTAGGGAGGGGGAGAGAAAGGACGTCCACCAGTGGCTGAAGAATAGTACATTACTGCCTA